TCTCCAGTTCTGTGAGAGATAACTATATTACTACCAACAGCATCATGAACATCAATACTGTCAGTACGACGTGTCTCCCAGGGACGAGCAACAAACGCATATGGCTTACTAGTTAGTGCACCCACTGGACAGAGATCGATGATATTGCCAGACAATTCTGATAAGAACATTTTCTCAACATATGTTCCCACCTTTAAAATCATTATATAATTGTCATACAATTTTTAAGAACGTTATTTAATAAATAGTTAAATATAAAATATGTTATATCGCGCCATGTCTTAACGCCGAGACACTACCGTGTCTTTAGATATAGATTGATATATGTATATATTTCAAGAATCTGAAATTCTCGCTACAGTCTTATAACAAGAATTACCAAAAAACAATTTATCTTTTTCTTTAAACGATACATATTTGTAATAAACGAATGATTATATTTGAAATATATATAAAATATTCAATTTACCTGCATATCATTGCCACGACCTGTAGTTCCTAAGTCATCAATACCAGCTACTTCCGAAGCGAATCGAATACACCTTGTGCAGTGTATGCAGCGTGTCATAACTGTCTTGATTAATGGCCCCATGTCCTTATCCTCGACTGCTCTTTTTCCAGAGAAATTAATGTCAACGAACCTACTCCTGTCAGTTCCGAAAGCCATACTTTGATCTTGTAAATCACACTCGCCACCCTGGTCACAGATTGGACAGTCCAGCGGATGATTAACCAACAGAAATTCCATAACACCCTCGCGAGCTTTCCGTGTGAGGTCAGAGTTGGTTTTCACTCTCCAGCCTTTCATTACTGGCATAGCGCATGCAGCAACTGGCTGTAAGATTGATTTAAGACAGTACCATTTATTAATTATTGACTCATTTTATTTTTTTAGCTATTCTGTTGTTATACAATAGAGAGAATAGCAAAATACCTAATAGCTATTACCTTAACTTGCTTCTCTATTTCAACAAGACACATCCTGCAATTTCCAGCTACAGCAAGACGTTCATGATAACAGAATCTTGGTATTTCAACTCCCACCTTGGCAGCAGCCTAAACGAAAAATTTTTTCACATGAATGTTATTACCTATTTTATTATTAAGTGCAATGTGCATATTAAAATAATATTTATATACATATAAATGAGAATCTCCTTTTTTGTTGTTTATAATTTAAAATTACAATTTCTATATAAAAGTGGTAGTCTTTTATGATGAAACAAAAATATCGTTTATTAGTTTTAGAATGTAAATTTTACTTTATAAAGATTGTGATAATTTTATCTTTATACTGAAATAAACTTATTTACTACTGTTAGCTAAATGTCACTTCGATTTTATTTATTTTCACAAATATCTTGAAAACTATGTCTCTTAATTAAGAATTCTTACATATTAGGAAGTTGCTGAAATTAAATTGCTATTTTGTATTATTTTGTAATGAGTAGACAGCTATAATACATTAAATACTATATTGTAAAAGAAACCAATTAGTTTTATTATTTTTTATTTGCATACAATACAAAAGAAATGCGTGTGTGTGTGAAATTGTATCACTCAGTAATATGTTTAAAAAAAAAAGTTAATCTTCGATGAATTTGCACATTAACAGAGATATTTTTAAATACTATTAAATACACATTTTAATAACTATAATTATATCTTCAATGAATTAAAAATTTTTTTCATGGAAATGACTATACATCCAAGATTTCCCAAACATAGGGGAGAGAGTGGTCTAAATCGGACCTATTTGCAGTTTTTGCTCTCTATAAGACGTAAATAAAGTCCGATCGTAAAATCGAAGGTGTCATTGGAAAAATCATTTAATTCCCTTCATTTTTGCTTGAAACCATTTTGACGTATCTCTCATCTGTGTTGAACTATAATGGAAAATGTAAAAACGCTTTTTCCGGTCCAATTTGGAACCAATGGTTCCAATCCCCTCGAATCAAAAACTTCTATTTTTATGGATTTTTAGATAGAATTTTAAAATATTTTAATGTGTGTTTCTTAGTATTGAGTAAAAACGAGCAATTTGATAGTCAAAGATAAAATTTTTTTCGGAAATAGAAATTACTGACTGTTTATATTATTAGAATTGAAATCAATAAAACTCAACTAATCTGAGTCTGATGACTTATGATATTTTACTGATTTAATTGCTTGGACCAGATCTGGTCAGTCGATTACCAGTACTACAACCAGGTCTATAAGTTATTCACTGTACTGACCGATTTGGACACGGGTCCTTTCGAACTTTGGAACAAATTTTACAATAAACCGCAAAAGTGATCACAAAATGCTTGATATTTTTGCATTCTATACTCTTTAATTATCTTAAATTAATTACTTTTCAAATTTTTAACACCTTTTAAATAATGATTTACAAGGATTTTCTTTTTTAAAAAAATTTTTGCACGGTGGTTGAAAATACATATTTGCGTCTATTTTATAAATGTTATGATAGAGATCTGTCAAACTGCTATCACATGTTCGGTATGTTATAAGGACTTTACATTATAAATAGGACGCAAATCTGCTTAACCGTATTCATTTAAATTAAAAAGGTCCTATTTGGAACACGGGTCCGATTTAGACTACTCTCCCCTATATAGTTATACTATGCAAACATCTAAATTTTCAATTTCTCTATATTTATTTTCTTCAGCCCATAAATGAATATATTCACTTTGAGTAATGTACTAAAAGTTAAAACAAATGACAAGTTCCTTTTATAGTAATGTTTACTTGTATCTTGTTAACTATAATATAACAACTAGCTTCAGTTTCAGCGACTTTCCGATAATCAACTTGTAAATATATATATATATATATATAATGTATTATAGATTTAAAAATTATATTATTCTTTGCAACAGAAGATATACGAAAAAACTGAAGGTAGAAAGAATATGAAAAATACATAGACTCAAACCTGCAGGACTGTTGTTCCCGGTGGTACTTGCACAGGCTTGTCGTCGATGAAAAGCTCGACCAGCTCCTGTTGCGACTTGTTGGACGTCGTATGGAAACTGACAGCGCAATGCCTTCCACCTGCCAGGCCTGTGGCCCGCACGATCGATAATCTCAACATCTCGCCAGGCTAGCAACACCAGTTTATATTATTATATAATAAACAAACTTTATCACACAGTCAATGACGAATTAACCTAACTAGGGAGGACTACAGTTAATGCTAGACATATGTCTCCAAAAGCTGTTATCGCAGCAACAGTACCAAGTCTAGCAAGAAATCTCGACGATTTGCCAAGCGATTTAAACGCAAAATTACGCAATCTAAATCACAGTTAAAGTTACCACAGTTGTTCTCAAGATACCTTCTCTGGACGTCAGAAACACCTAACAATCCACACTGAGCTCATGATGAGCAATGGCGAATTCGATTGTAAAATGCAATTGTGTAGGTTACTTTTGTATCACCGTGTATAGTTATGAACGTATAGGGTAAATTGGGTTGCGCTAATCAAGACCATTCTATAAATTTATTATAGATTTACACGAAAGAAAATCACAAAATCATGGATATATTTACATTATGAGATTTAATAACAGCTTAATCGTGGTCATAATTGCTCTCAAACTTTTCTCTGCTGCAACAACTTACTAAATGCTCCAATGAATTCTTACATCTGATTGGCATATTCCGTTAAATCTAAAAAGATAAACCAAAGAGAGGTATTGAATGCATCCATCCATATGAAATATGAAGCACCCAAAGCAAGTAACTACTTTACTGTGTTTTCTACCGTGATTGGACGATTCACTTATTGTTTAAAGGATTTATTTGGTCATTATTTGCTAATTTACGTCGTAATCAAAGAATTGACCAATCAAAGTCGAATGGAAGCGGAATAGTCGACTATGATTGGTTAATTCTTACGGATTATTACGGTATATAACTTAACAGATTAGGATCAATATAAATTTATGTTTTTCTATGCGTTTCTAACTTTATACTCGATTATTTTTCTCATATTCGACTGATTTGTCAATTTCTTACAGCCTCAAAGTTAGACCCTGTCAATGGAGGAAATATTAGGAATAGAAATAAATATTAAGATTTGGACCTATTAGAGATCGTGTATTCTGATGTAATTGATTTCTGATAGGTTGAAATCATGTGCCCATATTCATTATCAGGCTTATTTGGGCTTATTTAAAGCTTCTTTAAGTTCATCTTTAGAGATTTCTCTCTGTCTTTAGTGAAGACAGGAGTCATTAAGAAGAAGTTATCTTTAGATGCTCTGTCTTTAGATGCCAATAAAGTAATTCGTAGAGTATCTGAAGATAAATTAAGGAAGTCTTAAATATAAGGCCTAGGATTATGAAAATATGAGCATTAATACTTCTGTTTGTTTCTAATATTTTTTCCATTGTGCACAGCCCTTTAATTGGAGTAATTGAAGTCATATGTCCACGATGACAGTTAGTAATCACGTGGTCATTTAATACAAAGTAGAGGGGGGTGGAGCAGCGCAGGCAGCGTATATTGGCGTATACATTAAAGGGTATATTAAAGGCAGCGTATATATTCACGATTACGAAGAGGTTAAGAGTCGTCAAGAAAACGGAGAGCGTTCGCTCAGCTTACGCGTTAAAACGGAGAATTCATTTTCCGACATTGAAAACTCTGGAAGAGTCGAAACTTCGCATCAAGCGTCCTTGATATCAGTTTAGAGTTTTGGAGTTGGTCCTATTCAGGTCCGTTAACTCTTTATTTGTCTCCGACGTCTTTTGAGTGTGAGTGATCGTGAGATAACATATCTACGAATTTTATAATGGATGATCCGGACGTGTCTCCGATTATTTTTATATAACGATTTTTATGTACACGATGTAAAACAAGTCTTCGTTCTATCGCCACCCACTCGAGCGGTGCGATACAGATTGATTCGATAAAATCGACAGGTACACCTCGTATAATAAGAAGTCTAGAGGCATGTAAATAGTGTCAGGTGATTGGAACTGTTCCGTGCCATTTTTATTACGCATTTCTGTAAGATCCCGGTTCTTCGTTATTATTTTGTTGCAGCATCGCGTGTAAGAAAATTATTTTGTTACGTAAATGCTTGATAAATAAGGTGTACATTGTTGCATATAATAAGCTTAATAAGCGGTTTTCTTGACTGACACACATTTACTTCTTTAAAATCATTGCAAATAATAACTGGCTACAATGAAGATCATGACAATTAACAGTTTTTGTTTTTCTTTTTCAATTCTTCAGCTTGTCATGACAATAGAAAAAACCAGTATTGAATTACATTTTATCTGAAATTTTTAATTATACAGGAAAGGACTATATGTCCAGTTTTATAAGGGAATTTGGGCCCCGGATGAACAACTTTGAGACATGCCTAAAATTTTAAGGTATCAAAAGAGAATCAAAAATTCCGTAAGCCCAACTTTATAAGTTTCCTGAGTACTAAAACTATCTAAAGTTCGCTATTATGACCATGTACCACTAATCTTATTCAATTTTTCTGCGTCCAGGGCACCTTCCCGCGGTAATGGCGATAACGGATTGTACCAAAGACATTGAAGTAATATCTAAAATGTATTTGGTACAGTCCATTAATCCGGTTGATAGTTATATGGTATCTGGGATATGCCCAACACTTTGACAAAGACATCCATATGCCAGCAAGAACAGTTAATGTTTTTTTTAGTTTTAGAGAGTTCTAATGAGGAAGCTGAAGAGAGATAGAGTCCATATATAGGCCACATTTCAATTAGGCAATTAAAATCTTTTGTTTCATATTTTGAATTTCTCTATCACTTATAACTATTCATTTAGGATCCAAAAAAGGTTTTAGTTGTCTTCGTCCAGATTGGACATATTCCAGATACTAGATGATTCGAGAAATAAAACCAGCCCTACTTGATACACAATACATGGTCATAATACTTTGAACAGCTGTAGTACTCAAGGGACTCATTTTACAAAGTTGTGCATATGGAACTTTTTAACTCTTTTTTTTTAACCCTTTTTTTATACTCTACAATCCTAGCTAGGTCTCAATGCTGTTCAGCCGGGACCCACACTGGGCATAGTCCTTTTGTTGGATGGATAAACACATTTGTATATGTGCATGTCGCAACTATTTCTTGAGAATTTACAATAATAATAATAATCTTAGTACGCAAAATATCAGTAGATTTGAGTTGAATATCTCAACATCAATTTGGCATCAATACTAGTTACATTAAGCTCATGTTCTATTAATAGAATCGGTCGATATAATCTGATAGTTAGATAAAAATTGAATAGAATTTGTAGTTGAATAAAATTCTTATTGAATTATTTTTGTTATTTTGTGATTATTTAAATGGAATATATCACGTAAATGATAAAAATTTTGCTCGGTTTCTACAGTCGATCTGTTATTATGTTAGCAAATTTTACTATCAACAACATTTGTAGCAAACACTTTGCAAAATTTATTTTCAACAAATTTATCTATCTGAAATTTTATATCTTGGAAAACAGGAATCTCTGTAATTCGAAATAATAAAACCATAACTGTTTAAAATTCATTTGTGTTTAATATTCTTATTAATGCGCTACAATAATGTTGTCATGACATATATATTTTTTATTGTTGTTACTTTTTTACTAAAAAGTTTTTACTAAAACTTTTACTAAAAAGTTTTTACTAAAACTTTCCTTCCCGCTTTCATCAAATTTCAAATATGTATCTATTTTACTTTAAAAACAAAAGAGTGTACACTAATTTAGCTTACAAAAAGTAAACCTATATAAAGCAAAAGGACATAGAGCAGTTTTTCCAAAATCCTGAAATTTTCAAGTGTTTTTAGAATTCTTGATGGATTACTCAGTGTTTGATGAATTGATTTCGTAGATTTCTTTTAAATTATAATATTATCGACACGATATTATTTTAGGAATATAACTTTAAGATAATAAATTTTATTATTCAATGATATAGCAGAAGATTCAAGATGTCTGAAAAACTCCCGAGTAATCAACCGCAACCTATTGTTAAAATAGGTCATTATACGTTAGGCCAGACTTTAGGCGTGGGTACATTTGGTAAAGTAAAAAGTACGTGTGTATACAATATAGTGGAAATTCTCTTTTTATTATCCTACCTAAAATTATAAGTTTTTTCATGTAATACTATTCACAGTTGGGGAACACGTTTTAACGAAACACAAAGTTGCTGTGAAGATTCTGAATCGTCAAAAAATCAAGAGCCTGGATGTCGTGGGCAAAATTCGCAGAGAAATACAAAATCTCAAGCTCTTCAGACATCCTCATATCATTAAGCTGTAAGTATTAATTGTAGAATTTTGTTTCGTATACCGTAGTTACATATCAATTATTTTAGGAATAATAAATTAAAAAATAAATTTTGGAGAATTTAATTTTTAAGTGAGAGGGAGAAGTAGGTCTGTCACATACAAAACAGTAATATACATACATGTTTATTTTCCTTATTTGACGTGTCTTCTTTTAAATAAATAACTCGTATAATTCAAATTTTAATGTATGTTTCATGTAGATATCAGGTCATAAGTACTCCTACAGATATATTCATGATAATGGAATACGTCTCAGGAGGAGAGCTGTTCGATTATATCGTTAAACATGGCAAGCTTAAAGAATACGAAGCGCGACGATTTTTTCAACAGATCATATCAGGCGTCGATTATTGCCATCGACATATGATAGTACATCGTGATTTAAAGCCAGAAAATCTTCTGTTAGATCACAATCTCCATGTTAAAATTGCAGACTTCGGTACTTGGATATAATTGGCATATCGACACTCCCATTATATGTAGGTGATAAAATGTTTTTCTACGAAAATGTAGGTCTGTCAAATATGATGATGGACGGAGAGTTCTTGCGTACTTCATGCGGCTCTCCGAATTACGCTGCACCAGAAGTGATATCCGGTAAATTATACGCCGGTCCCGAAGTCGATATTTGGTCGTGTGGTGTTATATTGTATGCGCTACTCTGTGGTACCTTGCCATTCGACGACGAGCATGTTCCTACTCTCTTTCGTAAGATTAAATGTAAGTTATTCTTCTCAAGAGAAATGTCAGCCGGCACACTGGAAATTTTTTCAAAGGCACCTTAAATGGCGGGATTAATTGGAATCTTTAATTTTAGCTGGTGTTTTTCCTATTCCGGAATATTTGAACAAAAGTGTTGTTAGCCTTTTATGCCACATGTTGCAAGTGGATCCAATGAAGAGAGCAACTATCGAAGATATTAAGTACATTGATGATGTATTTTTTTTTCAAAATATTAAATTAACACTACTATCACTATGCCTCATACATACTTTTCAATTTCAGAAAACACGAATGGTTCCAAAAAGATTTACCGTCGTACTTATTTCCATCACCTGTTGAACAAGATTCTTCAGTTATCGATATAGATGCTGTGAATGAAGTATGTGAAAAATTTAATGTGAAAGAACCAGAAGTGCATTCCGCGTTATTGGGCGGCGATCCACATGATCAATTGGCAATCGCTTATCACTTAATCATAGACAACAAGAGAATCGCGGATGAAGCTGCTAAGGCAGAATTGAAAGATTTTTATGTGGCATCTAGTCCTCCGCCTGTAGCATTTAGTCCAAACGAGGCAAACAGCAGTCCACTGAGGCCTCATCCAGAAAGAATTGCACGTATGTAAAAAATATGAATAAACCAGCGCGGCTCATCAATTAATGATTTTCTTATTAGAAATTTTCTCTGTTCTCTCTTTTTTTTATATAAGAATAAATTTATAAAGGCTACTAAAAAAAATATTTTAGTCATCCTTTATACATGACTATACATGTAATGACAATGTTACAGCATATCGCGAACGTCAAGGTTCGCAAGGCAGCGCACCTGCACAGATACAAGGAAATCGCGGTACGCCTGTGAAAAGGGCAAAATGGCATTTAGGAATTAGATCACAATCCAAGCCCAACGACATTATGAATGAAGTTTATCGTGCTATGAAAGCGCTTAATTTTGTAAGATTAATTACATGTGGAGTTATATAACAACTGGTTGCTTAAACGTGATGTCACGCAAATTATCCTTTTCAGGAATGGAAGATTGTAAACACATACAGTGTTAGAGTAAGACATAAAAATAAACTGACTGACAGATATAGTAAGATGTCATTACAATTATATCAAGTAGATCATAAGAGTTACTTGTTAGATTTTAAATCTTTATCCAGCGAAGAAGAGGACATTGGACGAGGTAAATTAAGTCTTTAAAAATATATTTGACTTATTGGTTATACATCAACATAACTTGTGTATAAAAATATATATATATGTATATATAAACTTTTTAAATAAAATTACGCAATTGGCACGATAGCGCGCGCGCGCGCGCACGTGCCTACTTCTTTTTTAAATTACATTAAATCAGGTTATATACTGTGCTTTTAACATTGTATAGTTTGAAATAAATGCAGATATTATAAAACATATTATAAGCTTTGCCTTTTACAAAATAATTTCAATAAAGGCTATATTTTTCGAGCTCAATTTAGTTTTCAATTAAATTCTGAAAATGTGATCGTGTGAAAAGTATACATCTTTAACAACTAATGTAGATATAGAAATTAATGAACAACGGTATCTACATACGTAATCATTTATTATCGAGTGCTATAATGGAACGTTACATTATTACAATCTAATATAAATTACAACACAAATATATATTTATCTAAATGATTATTGATCTTATCATTTATTATCATATTTTATTTACGGAATCGGTTCACTATCAGAAAACCAAAAAAATATGTGCATACGCTTAGAAAAATATACATTATCCTTGTCGTATTTAAATTTATCTCATGTATAGCTTGTACAAATGAATTTGTTTTGATGGGTCATGCGTGTGAAAATGTGATCAAGTAATTTATGTTCTAACCGTGATTTCCTTTCGTTACGATTGATGAAATTTATAACAGAAATTCTTCAAATTAATACACATAACAATCAACTATCATGTGAAAATATATATGCGCAAATTATTTAATATTTAAACATTTGTATGTTGATATCACGATATAATGTCTTAAGCTGAAACCCATTTAAGCACCATCTGTCATTGGAATATTGGTAATTAAAGATAAAATATACATGATGGCACATACCGGACCTTGTCTCATCTTATATGAATATACGACTCGATCTTCATAATGCTGCCAAAAAAACTGCCTGTTACTCAGCTTGCCTTACTACGCATACAAAACTGACAAAAAATATATATAAATTGGATAATTTCATATTTTATCTCATTTGTTTAAACGAGATTAACATTAAACGGAAGAGAATCTTGCCTAAACATGTTTATTGATATGGAATACTTCCAGTTTTGTTTATCTTAATACTGCGCACAATTTTAGGAAGATTATGGAGAACTTACGCAACTTGTGACTACAATGGTGATGACGATGATGATAATGAGGACGATGATGATGGAAATGTCAAATGCACATAGTAAATTAAAAAATCGAGTGATAGAATATATTACGCGTTATAATCTAAAATTATATTGCAAAAATATAATAAAATATAATGAATATAATTATTAGTACAAGTCTGTTTTTCCTTTTTAAATAGCATGTTATATAATGCATGACAATTTGTGTAATTCCGATATATGTAAAATGTTTAACTATTTTAGCAGTGTTCCAATAGATGATGTTTTAAGTTTTAGAATTGATTCGTTCTCAATGAAAACTTCATGTAAGAACGCAATATTTATTTAAGAATATCTGCTATCAAAATAATTCCCAAAAGTCCTAAAGTATCCTGCGTAACTATGATCAATTTTTTGATACAATTAACCTTTCCATCATTATTTATAAATACAACTTTCTAGCACAGTGTGTTGCTCCAATTGGTGGCACAACCTATGGCTAACAGATATTGTATGTACCATGACATCTAGGTTGCATAGCCTGCAGAACTGTACTTTTTTCGAAATATCACGATATTTTGGATATTTTTTCGGAAGTGTTAATAATAATAAAATGAAACAATGTCAAGCGAGTACATATACAGTATGCTTTTATCATAGTCACTTTGACTAGAAGATATTATCGTACATTCAATGCAGAATATACTATTCCATAACTTCAGGAATACAAGTGTAATATTTGCTAATAAAACATTTTAAGGAACGCATACAAGCTTTTTTCCATTGTAATATTCATAAATAAAAGTGATAAATTACCTTTATCAATAATATAAATCTTTTATAAAATCAACAAATCCATGATGAAAGATCGTTGAGTATAGATGAAGAACTGTGCATGTGCCGAACCGTTCGTATCGAGCACTATAATAAATTTCTAAATAAACAATAAAAACTTATACATACGTGAATGTTAAACTAGTGCACTATATTATATCTATATAAAAATATGCATGTAGAATAATATATATGTAACAAATAGCTACATATATATGTATATATACATATAACTGTAAATTAAAACCATTAGAGTATACATCTTATAAATACTGTATTTTTTTTTACAAAAATGTTTTTGTTCATTATTTCACTGAAACATGGTTTTAATTTTTAATAAAATAAAATCGTATTAAAATATATATACGATTAATATGTACTGTAATATGTATCTAACAACTTTATAAAATTATGCTTGTGCTTTGGGCAATTAGCAATGTATAATATAAACTGATGAATTAACACGTGACTAAATTAACATACTGTAGAGATATTAACATAAACCTCTAAACATTTCTTACGACATATTGCACAAAAATCTGGCGTTCATTCTTATAATATGTTATATCCAGCAATCGAGCGTACAGTTATTCAGGCTAAACGTACTTTGAAATGGCACATATAATAGATGTTATTAGTAACTCTAAATTTTGATAATATAGGTGTCTTTCTTCCCTTTGTCACACATGTGGTGCACATCACACTCGGAGAATTTCTGTTAAATCTCCTGATTGTCTTCACCAGTCTCATTATCTACAAACTCCACATGCGTAAATGGGAAGTGTCCGACCTTGCCGTGCAATTCACCTTCCCACTGGCCATTGATATTAGTCTTTGTCACTTTTATCATATCACCTACTTCTAATTTTAGCGCAGTTTTATCATAGGCGTTAGGCACCCTTGCCTGTTTCACTTTGGCAAAGGCCGGCAGTGTTCTCTGAATGTTTGATCTTCGCGTTACTGTCGCTTGTCCCATCGTTTCTGTATGAGATACCTGTGATGTAGGCCCTGAATTTGAATTAGAGCCGGAACTGCCGCCACTTTCAGGCCGCGAATTATTTTCTATTATCATATGACTATCGTCGTCGTACTTTTGAACATACGGCACTGGTATCGAACCAGTTTGGCCCACACTATTTCTAGCTGTCCACCACTGTTCTTCGTCTTTCGATATTACAGTGAGTATATCACCTAAATTACAAATACCTCATTAATAAGATTATAAAAAATGAACTGATACAAATTAATCAGAATTAAGGAAGATGATATATACCTTTTCTAAAGGGTAAGTCCTCAGAATCATTTCCTTCAAAATCATACTTTGCAATTACCCTCTGCGTTTTCTTTGGTGCTGGCCTAATTAATGGTGTGGTATCTAAGTAGTGAAGCTTATAAAAGGCGAGAAGACTGGGAATATCCGGAAACATCTGATCACCAATCCGATAACGAATTTGGTCTCCTTGTTGGATTTTATTGATGATATAGTGGCTAACTTTACTGTCCTCCCTTACGCATAGTACAAAGTCACCATGTATAGAGGTGCTGTCTCGTACTAAAAATACACCACCTTCTTTTTCACCCATCAATAAGTCAGATGCATCCTGTCGTGACATAGCACCAAAATACCAGCTGAAAAGAATCAATTATAATTAATTATAATACAGTTTCTCTCAGAGAAACTTATATTTTATTTAAACATGTAAAAAAGAAAGATAAATTTATAGTTTCATAAACAAACATAAAAAAATGTAAAATATAAAGTAGTAAATATTACTGCTTTTAAGTATTAAATTCAAAGCAATTAAATAACTAAGATAAGCAAAGATCATATTCGGTCAAAGCAGAAATTGGTGTCTAACAATTTATATAAAAACATTACTAGGTATCATTTTCCATTTTAACCAAATAAGATCTTCATTGATTTGTACATTTTAACATTTAACATTTTTCGATCAATTTTTTCACTTACTATTGTTTAAATAATTAAGATTCTCTAGTTTTCTTTCTAGGACAAATATATATGGAAGAGATGTTAAAAACGTTTAATTTTAATTATTTTTAATTAGTGTTTGATTGTGAGAACATTCAATGTTATAAGACAAGTGTCTATAAGACTGCTCTGACAAACACCTAGGAAACACACAAAAAATTACGAAATTTATACTCCACGTCGTTCACAACGAGGTTAATACTTCGAAGCAAGCTACTACTCGTATTGCACGGACTAAAGAAGACTTATCCAGTGCTCCGAGAACCAATGCGTCGGTACGATAATTGCACCGTTTTTGTGCGGGAGTCGTTAAACGGGAAACCGCGATATGTTAAGTGGCCCGCACGGTCGCAATTTCAAACGCCATTACGCCAATAATACTTAATGCAAGCATGACACTCGCTTGATGAATCAAAACATGGGAATTCTCCCGCACGTACCTCGATTTGTCATACTGATCGAAGGTCGCAGCCATTGTCGTGTCGATCGGGGGTTCCAGAAGCGAGACGAGCAGCTTCTTCTCTCGTCAATTGTCAATTAATATATCACGGAGTACGTCCGACGGGGAGGGAATGAGAGAGAGGGACTCGGCCGAGTTGCCGCATACTTAGTTAAGAGGGGCCTCACAAAACGCTCGCGCGAGTCACCGCCGCGAACGGATCTCCAGGTCTATCGCGGAACTTTGTGCGGCTACCAGAGAAACTACCGCGATATACCCGTATCTTTCGGCGGGAATCCTCGGAGACACTTTTTTACGATCACTCCTTTACTCCTGACCCGAGAGGGAATTATCACTTCATCGTCGGACGTTCCTCGCACGATGCGGTCTCGTAGGAGTGGACCGTCGGCGACATCGTGCACGTTCACGAACGTTTCGATCGACAGATATTTCTTTTCTCTTTGCCGAGGCCTTCGTCGGGAAACTACCACGTGCTGTATGTCGATACGACGTTTACATGTTACGCCGCACGAAGCAACCGTGAAGCGAACGGCAAATCTTACAAAAATGGTCGCCAGCGTAATATGACTTCGTCCATGCCTCTTAAGGACGGTACGCAACGATTTGCAAATCGCAATGCCCGCGTGTTTCCCTTTATGCTGGATTCACCCTGCGTTCGTTAAGCTAGTCACACACACTTTCCGTAACCCCGGATCTACAATAGGGTTTTAAGCCTTAAGCCATAAGAAATGGGCGAATCACAGTCGCTTATTCTTCTCGGATTCGACTGTAATTGGTCAGTTTCTTACGGCATAAAGCATAAAACACCTATTGTAGATCCGGACTAAGGCTGATGTCACATTGAGCGGTTTATGCGGTAGCGGTACAAAATTCAACCAATCACAAAGTACTTTTATATTTTCTGCACATTTGTTTCTATTAGTACTTTACAATTTGCTACCGCATGAACCGCTGCCGCATGAACCGCTCAATGAACGCGTTCAGCGGACTCAACGGTTGAGTGAGCGCTCATTGTTATTGGTACATTCTTCTAAATCTAAAATTCTGATTGGATGATCTAAAAGAATACACCAATAACAGCGAACGCTCATTCAACTGTTGCGTGCATTTGTTTATGCAGTGGTCAACGCAGTAATGCTGGATTCACACTGCATCCGATTTACGTCGTACGACGCTCTGCAACCAATAAGAAAACAGGATTCCGATGGATTTAGCTTCGTATCATCGAAATTCTGTTTTCTGATTGGTTGCAGAACGTCGTACGACGCAAATCGTATGCAGTGTGAATCCAGCATAAGTATCATTTAGGCCCAGTTTCACAACTCACGGTTAACTCTTAACCGAGGTTCAACTTATTTCTCAACTTTTTCCAATTCTAGAATTGAAAAGAGATAATGAATAAGTTGAACCTCGGTTAAGAATTAACCGTCAGTTGAAACTGGGCCTTAATCTTTGTTCAACACTCGGTGAACAACAAGGATAAAGTAAAGGCCGCGACACAGACTTTTGCGTAATGCATAAGGCATAACGCATAAGTCCGGATCTACAATAGGTGTTTTATGCCTTATGCCGTAAAAAATTGACTAATTACAGTCGAATCCGAGAAGAATAAGCGACTGTGATTCGCCCATTTCTTATGGCTTAAGGCTTAAAACCCTATTGTAGATCCGGGGTAAAGGCCATGGCACATAAAAAAACTTAAGCCCATGACACAAACAAGAACGTAAGGCCGTAACACGCAAGCAGTAAGTGAATTGACCAATTACAGTAGAGACCGTAAGGCCAGTAGCGAATCCAATGTTACGATTTCCTTACTGTTTACGGACTTACGTCTTACGGACTTACGTTTTTCTATGTGCTCCCGGCTTTAAGGCGTAAAGGCTTAAACACAATAGACACAGGCAATAGGCACAGGCAACAGGAAATAACGAATCGCCCAATCAGAGCTCTGGTGTGTAAGTTCGAAATCATATCCCAAAGCTCTAATTGGACGGTTCGTTATTCTCTGTTAGCCCGGATCCTCATACGGGCAACAGCGCTTTGACACAGAGCGCTAATTGGTGAAAAGCCGATTGAGGGGGTAAAATTTACCCCCATTATCCGTTTTTCACCAATCAGCGTTCGGTGTCAAAGTGCTGTTGTCCGTATGAGGATCCGGGCCTACCTGTGCCTATTGCCTGTGCCTATTGTGTTTAAGCCTTAAGACTTAAGCAGTAAGCGAATCGACCAATCACAATAGAGACCGTAAGACCATACGTAAGCAATAGCGAATCCAACATGTTGATTTCGTTACTGCTTAAAGGTGCGATTTCACGCTGACGCTAGACGCTCATTTTCAACGTCAAAACAGGTCACGTGATCAAAATTGACGCTTGGTATTCGTCAATTTTAATCATGTGACCTGTTTTGACGCTGAAAATGAGCGTCGAGCGTCAGCGTGAAAAGGCACCTTAAGTCTTACGTCTTAAGTTTTTTTATGTGCCTTGGCCTTAACGCATAGCGTAAGTCCGGATCTACAATAGGGTTTTAAGCCTTAAGCCATAAGAAATGGGCGAATCACAGTCGCTTATTCTTCTCGGATTCGACTGT